CTGCAGTTTAGCGCCATCTGCTGTCAGAGAGTGAAAGTGCGCTTTCATCCAGAGCGTCTCTCACATGTTCCGCCATGTGCTTCTCGTCGGCTTGTTTACATCAGAGTTCGCAAGTGTCTTTCACGCAGCATACAGCGGTGTTGTGCATTTTGACCAGTTGATGGGAAATGTATTCTTAAAATGCATTCAAAATGAATGAATAATTTGTAATATATAATTATATATATGAGTGAGTTTACTTCAAAAACAGCGATTTTATCCTCTTGTTGCTGGAAAATATAATGTAGTGATTCAGTATTTAAACTGTTATTAATAAAAGTGACGGGGCAGCGTTGACAAGTATCTTTGCTCCTGGATGTGTGAGCTGCGCGATCTCTGATATGTGTGTGTGTGTGTGTGTGAGTAAGCAGCACATTAATATAGAACGGTAATTAAAGGCTCTAATGCACACCAGTATAGGTGTGTGTATTGTAGGAGCTAGACGACGCAGTAAGCAGCGCATTAATATAGAACGATAATTAAAGGCTCTAATGCTCACCAGTATAGGTGTGTTTATTGTAGGAGCTAGACGACGTATGATGACGTGTGCGGCATAGTAGTGGTGTCCCAATTCTTAGGGAAATATTTTCACCCCTACCCCTTGACACTCTGTTTCAAGGGGGAAGGGGTAGGCGAAGGGGAAGGGGTATAAAATAGAATTGGGATTGGGCCAATGTCTATAGCCTAACAATAATTAGGGCCCAAACCCAAAGGGGCGAAGGGCCCTTTTGTTTTCCTTAGGATTATTCTTATTATTTATTCCACTAATTTTTCTTCAAGGTTTTTGGGGCCCTTAACATGCTCAAAAACTCTTGAAAATTGGCACACACCTTGGAATCTGCAGCCATTAGGGCCGGGCAGAGACTGATACATGGGCGTGGCACGGGCTCTACAGCACCCCCTGGAATATGGAGGGCCATATATCATACATAATTGCACGTATACATATGAAACTCAGTACACATATAGATCTCATCGAGCCAAACTGCATGTCATAGGCTCCGCTCCAACAGGAAGTTGCCTATTTAGGGTTTTGTGAAAAACACATGCTCTGGAATTTGATATACTCATGCTAGGTTTTTTACCCGATTGCCACCAAACTCAGCCAACATGATCTCAAGACATTGGGGATGAAAAATTGTGAGGGGATTTTTGATATTTTGAACGGTTTGGCCGTGTCGAGGTGTTGAAATTATGGCCAGAAATGAGAAACAGGAAGTGTACTTGCATACTTTGTCTGATTTTGCTCAAACTTCAGCAGTTTATTCGTTCAAGTAGTCAGATCACATAGATGTGACTATTAGGAGTCAAAGTTATAGCGCCACCAACTGGCAGCAGGAAGGGTTACTTTTTAAAACGCTTTGAATGCACCCTCTTATATTTACCTGATTTGCTTAAAACTTAATCAGAATAATGTAAAAATACGGCCGTTATAAAACTGTGAAGGGATTATTGATACCTAAAATAGTGTTGCCATGGCAATGTGTCAAACTTTAATATTATTTTCTGGTGTTTTTAAGGCCCTTAACATGCTTAGAATTTATTGAAACTTAACACACACATCAGCATTAATGATAGATAGACACTGGCAAAAGCTCATAAAAGGGTGTGGAAGAGGCACTCTATAGCGCCACCTTTTGACAAAGCGAAAAGGTTAGTTTTTTGGGGTTAGTTTTAGCTACAGTCACCAGCTGTATATATACTGCACATATATTGTTCTCATCAAGCCGGACAACTTTCTAATTTACAGTCAATAGCTATGACCAACAGGAAGTCGGCTATTTTGGTTTGAATATTGATTTTTGGAAAAATATGGCTGTGAAATAATACATACTACTCTTGCAAAAATTATACAATTCACACCATCACACATCAACATGATGCCAAGATACTGAAGATGCTAAACTGTCAACGGATTTTGGATATGTTTAACGGTGTTGCCATGGCAATTTATTAAATTAACATTAAAAAAGATAACTGTAATTTTCTTTTATCTTTAAAGTTCGTTATTCTAACTTCAAAACTTTTTACATATGGAGAACAAGTCATTCTTAGGAAACATGCTAAGTTTCATAACTTTATCATGCTCATGGGCCACCAATTAAAACTATCACACATTATAGGCAGTGTTGGGCAAGTTACTCTGAAAATGTAATCAAATTACTAATTACTGATTACTCCTTTTAAAAGTAATCGTGTTACTGTTCTGATTGCTTTATTTCAAAAGTAATTAGTAATTAGCTACATTACTAGTTACGTTACTTTTTTCTCCATGAAATTTATGAAATTCCAGCATACACGCTCCCGATAAATATTTGTTATTAAAGCATCAACATTCACAGAACACTGTTATTTTTAACTAAAGCAAGCGGCTGCTGCGTCATGGTTTGGCATGGCAGAATGCCAGCAAAGAGCGCTGCATTTATAATCTCTAAAAGACATCTCAGTTCATCGCAATCTCACAAATCTCTGTTATAACACAATAAATATATGCATAATGAATATTTCATAATATCTACAATTCGTGTGTTATAATGAGAGGATCTGTGAGCATGCAAATGTCAGCACTGCATTGCTCAACGCTGCAAACACGTGTTATAGCCTAAATAGAAACTCTGCATGCACCTGTTAATCGTTTTTATTTTATATTAGTTCATGTTGCTTTTGTGCAATAGCTGAATAACAATTTATTTGTTTTAGATATTTTATGTTTAGATATTTCTATTTTGCGGGAGTCCCGTGAATCATTTTATTCTCCCGCATCCCGCACACACACGAGTGTCTACCCGCCCGCATTAGCACTCGCCCATCTTGTCCCGCACCGCACTCTGTTGCGTCGGGTCTCGTGGGAGAGCAGGTCTCTAATCCACTGGCACTTGACTCGACAGTGCGTGTGCTACATCCTTTTTACAATCTCTAGATTATAAAACACTGCATTCTGTCAGCAATGTAACTCGGCAGTAATGTATAGAGACCTCGGCTTGTAACTATACTCTAATTACTATTTTGAAAATTACATAATTACTAATGCGTTACTGCCCAACACTGATTATAGGTGATAGGTGAAGACTGTAATACCAAGGATGACCACCAGAAGGAGTCACATGATTAAAAATCTTTTAATCTTAATCCTCTTTAGGTAATTCTTGGTGTATAAGAACGAAAATAATGCATAGAATCAGTTAAAATGCACTGTACTGTCAGTATACTTTTGCATGGTTATTGTAGATACACTTATAGAGCATTAAAATCATTTTTAAAAATCTTTAAAGGAAAAATCATTAAAACTTTTATGTATCCTAACATCTCTCACTGATAGGATAAGAAATATTTTAAGTCTGAACCTTTACTGCTCAGTTCAATTAATTAGAATAAGAAACATATACATAAAATAAGTTAATATGTATTTTACTGGTAATATTGTTTTATATAATTAGTTCACAAATGCTTATAGATCATTAAAATAATTTTTTTAAATGGTTATAGATCATAAAAAGGGTTGGCAATAATTTAAAATAAGGTCTCTTTGGTTAACATTAGTTAATGCATTAACTAACATGAACTAACAATGAACAGTATATTTTTAGTTCATTTAATAATCTTTTTTAATGTTAGTTAATACTAATATTAAAAATATTCATGTTCATGTTAATTCACAGTACATAAACTAATGTTAAAATACAACTTTAAATTTTAATAATGTATTAATACATGTTGAACTTAACATGAATTAACATTAATAAATGCTATATAATTATTGTTCACGTTAACCAATATAGGTAATATTAACAAATGAAACTCTATTGTAAAGTGTTACCAAAGTTTTATATATTGCTCTCTCTCTCTTTCATTGCTGTAACCCTTAAATACAAACTAACATTAAATAACATATTTTTACAGCATTTATTAAACATTTTTAATGTTAGTTAATCAAAATGCTCATGTTAATTCACAGTGCATTAACTAATGTTAACAGATACAACATGAAATTTTAATAATGTTTAAGTTTTTAATATTATCTAACATTATTAAATGCTATATAATGATTGTTCATCTTAATATAGTTAATGTTAATGACTGAAACCTTATTGTAAAGTGTTACTAAAGTTTTATATATTGCTCTGTGTGCGTGTGTGTGTGTGTGTGTGTTTCACAGTCTTGATGGTTTGGATTAACCCTTTAATTGCTGTAACCCTTAAAACCAGACTGCCAGAGGGTTACTGTAATGCATGTGCCCACTGTGCACCGTTTTCCTGATACCACCGGGGTGGTGGTTGCACTGATGGTTTGGGCCCTTCATCGCTGCTTGCAGCTATATTAAATGTATTTGTATTTTCTTAATATTTCCAGTACAGAGAGCAGAACCATTAACGTCAGAGCTTATCGATACTCTGGTCTTTCATAATTTAGCCACCGGGCCAATTTAAAGGGCACCTATCATGCAAAATCCACTTTTACATGGTGTTTGGACATAAATGTGTGTTGGCAGTGTGTGAACACAACCACCCTATTTTTTAATCCCCTTTAAACCAAATCAGTCTCACTAGGCAAGTCATTTTGATTCTCTATGCAATATGACATCACATTGTCACAGGGGCTGACTGACAGCGCTGCATTGC